TTTTTAACCGAATTACAATAAAAAAATCCCAAAATTAAAATGTCTATAAATAGCTCAAAAATGGCTAAAATTTTCCGAACTTTAAACCATAAGAAACAAAATTCAAAATACAACAAAAAAGATCTCTTTTCATTTTTCATTTGAAGCAATATTTCTGGTAGAAGACGTCGTCCGTAATTATTTTATATTATAAAATCGTGAAATCGTGAAATCGTACGTTTTTTCTCCTTTAATCGCTTATATTTGAGTACCGTTTCGAAAATCGAAAAATGACCTCTTTAAAGTACAAGCTCAAGAATATTACCTTTTAGAAAAAATTCTACACTTGATACTTTTGAGCAAGTTTAGAGGGAGAAAAAGTGTTTCCAGATAAAAAATTAAAATAAATAGAAATAAACATCATTGTAAAACCAATACATTCCTCGCTCCGCTCAGAATCCATAATAATCATTAGATTATTTGAAAGGAAATTAAAAATTAAATGTTATTTCTAACCAAATATCGATTGAATTTTTATATAATTATAAACTAACAGCAAATATAACTAGGTATTTATCATCCGTTCTTGGGGTATTCATTATGATGTTTCAATGTTTGTAAAATATTATCATATTATTAATAATCATTGAATCTAATTATTCTATAGATTTGTTGATGATTGATATTTTGTTTTAAAAGATATACAACTATACTGGGTGGACGATATAAAGAGATGAACGATCTGTTTTCGCAGTTTCAGAGGAAATTATTGTATTATTTTTGTTGATGTTGTGGTACAAAATACACACATATATCAGGTACAAATCGGCTATAGGCATTCCCCACCTGAATTTTCAAGAAAGATKGAAGTCTCCATAAATAGAATGCGCATAGGACACACGCAGCTAACTCACCAGTACTTGATGAACAAAGAAGACCCACCCATTTGCGCCAGTTGTGGTACACTTCTATCTATCAAACACATCGTATCTGAATGCCGTTCCTTCGAATCGGACAAACGAGAAGCTGGAGTATCAAATATTATATCGGAAGCCC